TTTGTCGGTCTATTTAGCATTTGTTCTACTTGTATCGAACATGCAATGAACTGTTTACTATTTAAATGTTATGATAAATGTATCGCCCTATAAGCTCTTATTAACTCACGCCATGAATTTCAGAGAAAAATCTGGTGGTCAATTCTGCATGAGCTTAAGAGGTCATGGACAAGATAATAAAAAATCTGTATTTATGTACATTTTAGTTGGTTCTATTTAACCAAGATCGGATGATATAGGAGCCGGCCTTTTACCGACTTGTGCACCCCGGCCCGTATTGGTCTATTGTGCATCCCTAGTTTTTTTATTTAGCACTTTGTTAAGCTTAAAGCTTTTTACCAGACCCAACGCTTTTTAAAGGGCTCCCGTGTGTATCCTTCAGGCCCTGGCTTTTCCTCTCCCAGGATTAGGAATTTCGCCTACATAGGCCTTCGCTCCAACAGAGCACGTGTCCCGCTGTCTCTTCTTCTTGTTCGCAATATCTGCACAGGCTGGTTTCTGCCACTCTGAGTCTATACATATGCCTCCGGAGTCTGCAGTTCCTAGTTAGTATTCCAATTATTACTTTAGTCCTAGCGCAACCTAGGTTTAGAAGTTCTGCTCTTAATTTCTCCGATAGTCCTTTATAAATTTTTTCGCATGAATCTGTCCTGGGCTACATTCCCATTGAGCGGAGGAATTATTATAAATCCATTGTGTAACGGATCTGCGTTTTTGGCAGTTTGGTAAACCACAAAAGGGTTCAGGGCCAACAGGTGTACCCATTGAACATTCCTTGGCCAATTTATCTGTCTCTTCGTTGCCCCTCTGCCCTGTGTGCCCGGGCACTCAGACAATATATTTAACAAAAGTAATTATTTAAATTGATTTATGATTTTTATGTAACGTATGGCTGAAATGAAAAATTAGTGTCATGAGCGATACAACAACTAATGACCTTCGTCTAGGTACGCCGGTGCTCTAATCAGTTCAGCAGTCCAAAAATTTCGGTTGAAATCGGAAATTGGTGTCCCGGGGGATCGATGTCACAATAGAAAATTTTTCATGAAATTGTCAAAAATAAATATGACAAAATTTTGTGTCAGGTATGATCCTTATAAGAATTAGGTTTCTTGAGCATTATTTCAAAAATTAAACAGAGGGAGTAGGCTCATTGGACGTTTTCTGGGTCATATTTTAATTTGGTTGGTGTATGTGTATCATCACTAAAGGTTGTATCAATTTTGTGCAAAGTAAGAAAGCCTTTTCATCATTAAAGCACTTATGCGATAAATACTTGTTTTCTCGGCAGGGTTGCCAAATGATATCGTAACCCGAAGATGTCTTTGTCATACTTTGGGTAATCGATTCCCAACCCTGATTTAGTGTGGTAATCGAGGTGAGTGGTTTTTGGGGAATTGTTTCTTCTTCACCATATCATCATTAACTAGACTTTAATTGCATCAGTCAAAATTCATCTCTATGATAAAATATCAATAATTTCAGAATTTTAGATGTTGAAATTTCGTTATTCATTCAACTGTTTTACATGGCAATGATTAAAAAACAAAACAAAAATAGATCGAATTTTATATTCTTAAATTAGTTTTAGAGTAGACAACTTCTCGTGCAATTCCTTTCAAAATTTCAAAATAAAAGTCAAAATGAATTGTTTAGGAAGTATTTTGACAATGCAATATTATCCAATAGCCAGTTCCATATTCAACATGCTTAGCTTGAGAGATATCATTAGTTGCTTTCTCGTGTCTCCCGAAGTGAGGAAAATATCCAAGATCATAATGTTGAAGAGGTTGAGCGCTCGAGACTGGGCAGAAGTTTCGGGCTACCCAAACCTGCTGGAAGATTTCATCAGGGAGTTCGAAGAAATGTTGGATTGGACCGAGATATGCCGGTGGCAGCCGATGTCCGATCAGTTCATGAGGGAATACTCGCACAGGCTCGACTGGAAGGAAGTTTCTTGGAGCCAAACCTTGACCGAAGATTTCATGCGAGATTTCCAGGCGCTCCTAGACTGGAGAGGTGTATCAGTTAGTCAGCAGATTAGCGAAAACTTTATCCGTGAGTTTAGGAACAAGGTTGACTGGTATGTCATATCCTTCAACCAAGATTTAACTGAAGACTTTATCAGAGAATTCGAAGACAGGGTAGACTGGTGTGAGATATCCAGGTGCCAGGATTTATCGGAGCATTTCATAAAAGAGTTTCAGTACAAGATCGACTGGTACTCTATATCCAGGCGGCAGGATTTGACCGAGTCTTTCCTAAAGGAATTCCAGGATAAAATAGACTGGGCCGGCGCCGCCTGGGCACAGGACCTTCCGGAATCGGTCATCAGAGAATTTCAGGATAGAGTCGACTGGCAGGCCGTCTCTTGCGTGCAGAAATTATCAGAAAACTTCATAAGAGAGTTCCAAGACAGGGTAGTGTGGAGTGCCATCTGCCAAGTGCAAGATCTATCAGAAAACTTCGTAAAAGAATTTCGACATAAAGTCGACTGGAACGTGCTCCGTTGTTCCAACCGAGTGCCCAAAGAGTTGTACTTGGAGTTCAGGGATAATCAAAACTATCCAAAATCGGAACTGCACGGAATATGAATTTTAGACGTGCACTCGATATTACATTGAATATATCTGTTGTGGTTTTATTTTTGAATATTAATAAAAAATTCTTTCACATGTGTTTTCATGTCTCATATGTTTTTTTTAATTTTTATTTTCTTTCCTAAATTTTGTTTGGACTTTTTCTAATTAAGAAGTGCAAATAAATCATTACTTTCGTCGTCATAACAAAAAAAATATAATTGTTTTTTTTTTCTACAAAAATTAGTTTTTAAGTACTGATAAATATCTCCTTATCAAATTTTTATCCGGCTGCATTTAACGTACATGAAAACTATGTATATGTAAAAAAAGTGAGAAGCGTACGTTTCCATATACTAAATAAATCAAGATAAGACTTGTTGCTTGACAACCGTTTGTCTTTGAATCAAAAGAATGTTTGAATAAAAAATAGGTTAATGAATAAATTAATAACTTTATAGTTTTGTTATATTGTTACATGTTATATTCAATTTTTTAATGTTTTTTTTATTAGGTTTGGTGGTCCGCTTGTCCAAACAAATTCTTTTCAATTAATTAAGGTTTTGGTTGACATAGAAAAGTCATTGTCACGAGCGGGATTCGAACACAGGACCTTCGGCTAGATACGCCGCTAATCTACCACTTGAGCTAACGTGACTTCGATCAGCTCGGACACTAACTTCACTAACTTCCCATCTCAACCTCACCTTTCGAATTGAAAAATGGCAAAAAGGAGGGAAAATTCGAGAGGTGAGGTTGAGATGGGAAGTTAGTGTCCGAGCGGATCACGGTAGCTCAAGTGGTAAAGAACCGGCGTATTTGGCCGAAGGTCCTGGGTTCGAATCCCGCCCGTGACACTGACTTTTTTATCTCGACCAATAACATTCATAAGGATTAATTAATTGAAAAAGGTTAATTGGTCAATCGGACCATGAACTATAATGGATTTAGAAATCCATAGTATATACTTACACAATGTACATAAACATGAACTACATCCAGAACGTTCCTATCAATTAAAATGACAAATAAATTGGTCCTTGGTTTTCTTGGATGAAGAAAATTGTAGAAGATTTCGTTTTTCCGAAAAACAATATTCTAAAATAAATTGTTTACAAATATTTTAAGAACACTTGCACCGAATTAAAAACAGTTTGTACCGTGGTATGCAGCGAAAAAAAAAACGTTCAAAAATATACATTGAAGAGTATTTTGTGAAATAAACTAGTTAAACTTTTACGTATCCCGCTAGACTGGACAATTGGATAACAACTAATACACCACAGTAAAAAAATATAAAACGGAGAAAAGAAGTTTAACTCATCCTGTGTCGTTAACTATTGTTCTCTGGATTTCGGATTGTAAGAATTGAAAATATGTAAAAAATTATAGGTTGAAATGTGCCGTACAGTTCATCCCATAAAGAGAAGGCCCTGTTGCTTGTATATAGGGGTAAATAGGGCGGTGTATAGTTTATTCTTGTTTAGTACTTGGTTTGTCGAGTAGTCTTTTCAACAGAGTGTACCTGTCATTGCATTCCGTTCGCTTTAGTCGAATGTGAGAGGTCTATGTTTATCATTTGCTTATGTAAAGTTCGAGTTGTATAAGGTTCGTATTTGGGGTTGCAATATTCGAATGGGTAGAAGAAATTTTTGGTGTAGAGTGATTACAAAGGTTTGGATTTTTTTCTTTTAATTTGAATTTTACCAGTTGAACCAGGGCTCAATGACAAGGAGGTGGTTTTGTAGATTACGTATTGCTGTGATTTGATCTTTATAAGGAGATAGGATTGCTGTGATTTCTGTGAAGTTGTCCTAGTTCTTGCGTGGGTGGGTAGGTCAAACGTATACATTTTATTTAGTAGAATAGTGGGATCCTCCTTGGGACTCCTACTCTGACAGGATAACGGAAAAAGAAGAGGATCCTTGGATGACAGAAAGCTGAGCTAGTAATGGTGAATACAACGTGAGGAGCTGGTGAACAGTGACGAGTCGGAAGTCGAACTCGTGTGCGGTAATGGTATCATGATCAATAATCAATTTTCTTGGATTTTTCCAGTGGAAAGAAATATACTATGATGATGGAAAATATCTATAATTTTAATAACCCTATTCTTTTATGCCCTACGTGGTTTACTTATGTTGCCAAAAACAAAATGTTATATTAAAAAACTTCATATTTAATAAGAGTCATTTTTAGTTGTGGATTGTTTAAAAGCAAAAACATTTTTGTTTTTACAAACTGGTCTCATTAAAAAAATCATAAATATTAGAAATAATTAAAAAGATATAACTGGCATGAATTTTTAATTTAATTTATATTTAGTAATGACTATCAAATGTTTGATTTTTCGTCTATACGTAACATTGTTAAATAGGACTTTTCTATATAAAATCGTTTGGTTTTAGACTAGAAATTATAAAAAAGTAAGAAACATAATTTTATTGTATAACAAGGGGTACAAAAGATAACATAAATATTCACAAAGTAAAAAAAAATACGATAAATTATTTACAGTGTGGTTTGTATTTTGTTAAGGTTTGAGAATTTCGAATTGACTCGCCGGTGGTAAGTCGTCGTTTACTGATTCTTGGAGTTGGAAACTCTTAGAGTTACGGAAGCGAAGTTCTTCTTGTTTGACAATTTTTGACAGCCTAGTGCCAAATGGTACTGACGAAGACGTCGGTTTGAATTGGGGCAGAGTGAACTCTCTCCCTTTTGCCGGTTTATTGTAAACGTAACCCTGCGGTTTTTTCGTTGTCGGCAAAGTAAAACTAGTAGATGGTTTTGGATAATTATACCCTGTGGCTTCGTCGTGGCTTGTTCCTGCCGGAACCGGCTCAGGTTTCAGTGTTGTAGTAGTAGTAGTTGTAGTTGTTGTTGTTGATGAAGGATATTCAAAGGTGGCCTGGTCTGGCCCTGCAGCCGGTTTTGGATAAAAATACCCATTTGTCTGGCTGGGTTTAGGATATAGATAACCTTTGTTTTCTGTTTGGAATGACGCTGCAGGAACGACAGTATTTTCTGTCGGCTTGTGAGTTGTTTGATTATTGTCATATGCATCATTTAATTGATTCGTTTCAGCGAATTGTGGCTTAGTAGAACTAGGCCTTTCATAGTTATATCCTTTATTCACACTTGGTTTTTCAACGTTTGAAGGTGCTGGATAAAAGTAACCTTTGTTTTTTATTTTGCTGGTGCTAGAGTTATTAGAAACGGGTTTTATATTTTGAGGAACGCTGTTCCTGTTGGTAAATTGCTTTGCAAGGGCTAGCGAATCTGACGCAGCTCCAGTGAAAAATTGATTGCCGAATTGGCCAGGAAATGAGTATTCTTTTCTCACGTTCGTAGAGTCAAAAAATATTTTTGGTACTTGATATGGATATCCAGGATGTCGTTCGTTATTGTCAATTTCCGTCGAAAGAAATGACTGCCCTTCTTGTCTCTGCTGATTTGGAAGTAATTTTCTGTAATTTTGATCAGCAGATCCAGCTCCTAATAAAACATGTGGAGGAATTTTTGCCCCGGGCCTTATTCTGCCGTCTATCCTTTTTCTTTGCTTTGTTACAGGCTTGCAGAGAAAGCTGTGAAAAGCGTCATTGCAAAGTTCTTCTAATGTGTGGTTTCTTTCATGTTTTCTCAGCGGTTTGGGTGCTGGTACAACTTCATCGGCCAGCAAAGCAGTACCTTCCACATTCTGCTGCAAATTAGTACTTTGTCCTTCTACAGCGGGTAAGTATCCGTTTGAAGGCTTGGGCACAGAAGATACATCGAACTGATTAGTAGGCTTTGCATCTGGATTAAAAGATGGCAAATACTGATTTGAAGTTGCGGGAAGAGAAGTGCTTTTTATTGTATTTGTAGCATCTGGAGCGTTCAGATTGTTGCGATTTGTCGGATATTTCGGTTGTGCAAATGTTTGTGATTTAGCTTGAAAGAAGAAATTTGGAGTTTTCTGTGTCGTTTGAAACGTAGGTTTCTGATACGTATATGTTCTTTGTGTGGTCTGGAATAAATTTGGAGGAGTTGTCCTTTGTGTAGTTGAAAACACACTGGGGCGCGATGTTGTGAACACACTTGGCCTAGACGTCGTTCTTTGTGATGTCGAAAATGTACTAGGGCGAGATGTCGTGGTAGGATAGTTATAAGTTGGATAAGTCCTCAAAGTCGAAACTGACGATGACTTTCTCAAAGGAACTTGCTGAGGGAAATTATTTGTAGTTTTTGCTGTATTCGAGAATGAGTTCGGCAAAATCTCAGGCTTTTGAATTGTCTGGCTTGAAATCCTCATGTCTATATTTGGCGTTTCTACTGCTGGTAAATATTGGTACGACGGTCCTGGAGGGGGTGACTTAGTCGTTACCTGTTGAGATGGTAAGGGTAACGGATTCGCCGGTTTTTTATATACATAGCCTTGCTCGGAATTCTGTTTTGGGGGCTGTGTGAGTTGCTGATGGGGCGGTGGTGTCGGATAATTGTAACCAGAGGTTGGAGAAAATGACGGAATGTTGTTTGACGGCTTTGGATATTGATAACCGTCGACTTCATCGGAAAGCAAGCCGCCGCCCTTGGTTAATGGCTGTTTGGTTTCTCGAAAATCAGAGTTGGATCCGCTTAGAAACATGCCTGGAGGAAGGACGGCTCCCGGGCGCAATCGACCATCAAGTCTGTGCTTCCTAGGGCCAACAGGCAGGCACAAAAAACTATGAAAAGGATCGTTGCAAAGCCTATCTAAATTGTCCTCATCATTTTCGTCGCCGTGGTGACTTGGAATTACTATCCTCGGGATGTTGCTAACACCAGAAGCTTTTAGATTTGGCAATCCTGCTTTAGCCGCTCCACCGAACAATGGGGGTTGAAGACCTTGGAAGTTGCTTGGACGACCCTCGAAACCTTGGCCTTGCCTCAATTTCTCGCTGATATCACCCTTCACGATCGTCGCAAGTAATAAAAGGCCGATCGATATCATCTGAAACACAAAAATAGAGTCTGAGCATCACGTTAGAAATGACGGTTAATAAGCCTTGAAGGCTTCTTTACAGTCTGGATAACTGAGTAAATTTCTCCCTTAAGAAAGTTGAAAGTCTATTCAGTAAGTTACATTATTATAAAAAAATATTTCTATATATTATAAACATAAATGTAATATGATTAACATAACAAGAAGATAATTTGACAATTAATTAGAACTGCAGAAATAACAGAATAACACATTTCAAAAAGAAAATCTCAAGAACAAAATGATACTCAATTATGTTCCTCAATCCTATTGTCCAATTGTAGCATAAAAATAGTTTAAACATGAAAATTCCATTTGTGCTATATAATAATTTCAACAAACCAACCATTTTTCTTATAAGATCTGATAAACCATGGTTACTAAAAGTGGATTACCTATTGCCAAATATTCATCTAAATTTTTATCACTTCGTCCGATGCAACAGCGTTTCATTTAATTATTCGTACGTCTTCGTGCCAAATGTCACATGACAATGGTACTTTCCACATAAATTTAATAATACAGTGTTTTCAGAATGGTATAACGCCAACTGTGACATCACCGGATTTAACATTTAAACACGCGACCGAACGTCTTTGCACGTACCATGTAACGTCTCATAACGAGACAAGTTGCGGAATAACAATTATTTATGCACTTTTATATTTTAATTTTATTTTTTCATAAATACTCTCTAAAGGATTATAGCAGTCGGCAATCAATTTAAAGCGATAGAAATAAATTAGGTGACACCGGGTCAAGGCATTTATTCAAATAAGGCGTTACGAAACCAATAAATAATGGCTGGATCTTCCTGAAGATGGTCCTGAACAACGTTAAATTTTAAATAATTTATACTTTAATCAATTTTCTTTCCACCGGTGAACAATTTAATACAAACCGTTAACTTGAATAAAACATGATCTATTTCAATAAATTATTAATCATTCCTTAGGCATAATAGAAAATATTGCATAACTCAGGTCTGGAATAACAACATTATTGTGGGTTTATGTGCTGAAAAACAGCTATTATCTGTGTCACTCTGCGTGTTTTAACCACTTATATTATTTTAGTACTTAGTATTTTTTAAACTACAGCCATTTGAGCGTTTTGATCTGATTACTGCGATATCCATAATAAATTTACTTAACTGTTATGTAAAATTAAGCAATGTATAAACAAATATTAATAAAAATTTACACTAAATAAATTATATTAGGCCCAATACAAAGGAAGAATGCTATTTAGCAAAGTACCTTAAATACATTAAAAATAAAAAGTGTGATGATTAGCGACCGTTAGTAGTTTTTTTTTTTTTTTTTTTTTTTTGGCTTCACCGTCAGGTATCCAGCCATACTACAACCGTTAGTAGTTGATTATTCAGAAATCGTGAGATGCAGCCTGGTGTGATGTAGGTTTCAGAAAAACATTTTCTTTATCGTGCCAACCTTTCGATCTTTATTGAGATCATCTTCAGGGCTGGGATTTACAAACATTCTTTAAATTTATTATTTAACAAATACATGTAGGATATGGAAAAAAGTGAATTTATACAATACAAAAAAATATTTTTTATATTCAACCAAAGTATTTCTACTCACTCAAAGTGTTTGTTTTCTGCGTACTTTGAGTGAGTAGAAATACTTTGATTGAATATAAAAAATATTATTTTTTGCATTGTATAAATTCACATTTTTCCACATCCTACATGTATTTGTTAAATGTAAACAATGTTTGTAAATTCAAAGCCCTGAAGATGATCTCAATAAAGATCAAACGTTGGCACGATAAAGAAAATGTTTTTCTGAAACCTACATCACGATTTCTGAATAAAAATAAAAAAGAGAGAGAAAAATAGGGGCCGCAACGGTTAAAGCGAATCATTAATGAGGAAGTCCAGTTCCCTTACAAATGAGCTTTTTTTGAACATCAGCACTCCAAGTGCGTAAAAAAGTAAAGTATAAAATGAAATACTAAGTCGTATCATAAGTAAATGTTAATTACATATGAAACAACCCAAACCAGAAAACCCCCGGCATTTTCCTCTTTACTTTATTATTTGGCAAAAACTCTTCATAAACTCATCCTAAAACGTTTATATACCATCCTGGAAAGCTCCAATATAATTTTATACTGTCATGCAACATCATTATACCATACAACAACGGCACAGGGTGAACCTCATCGCAACGTTTTTTGAGTGGTATGGTTCACATTGGAATGTGGCATTCGAGCTTACTGTGGAAATCAATGGCGTCGTGCCATTCATATATTATCCCGCCCTTACATTCTATCTGTCCTATAAGTATTTTCAAGAACGAATCAAAATATCTTTCCACCCCAATTTACTACGTTCGAGCTGGTGTTCTGCAAGCATCGTTTGTCCCGATCTCTATTCGGTTTTCTCTGCAGACTACGTCCTATCAATTTGGATGTAATCCTCACATATGCGAATACTAACGCCACCCTTTCAAAAAAAGCAGACCCAATGTTGTTATATAATAATGGCTAAAAAACTGAATATCAGACTCTATTAAATCAATCAACCGTAAATCATTTCACCCTTCGCCTTATCTACTATACGCCGCCAATCGATTACGAAGTTGTTCCTAACCAAGTAACAAATGTGCTGCTATTTGCGAATTTATTTCGACAAAAGACTGACTTACTACCCCCACGCTAAAATTAAAAGTATAAAACTAAACAAATTAATAAAAATTATGAACGTGAGTGAACTCCACTTTTCCATTGGAACGTCCCGTTGCCGGTGGATCACGTGACCCGCTACACTCAAAATTCATGTCGAAACTCCTTTAACCTGATGAGTGTTTTATCCTAGAAATCCGGATAGTTGTAAACTACAGATCTGTAAGTCAAACCATCTTTGACAAAAAGCAAAGCTGAACAGACGATATCAATTACTCAAAAGATTCTTGACAACACATTGAACTTCTACTTATTTTATTCTTATTTTTTTACTACAAAATAAACAACACACCTACACATCATTACGACAACCCATGACCCCCATCAACCCATCATAATCCAGATACTCGAGTCTAAGATTGTTACAATTATTGCTTCATATATCAAACCTAATACAGTTCTCTAAATCGCATTGGTCCTCGAACAGCAAAAAGTCGATACAAACGCTTCCTTAAATTGGTCCTGTGATTTCGCAACTTTTCCTGGTCTCGAAATGGCAGCGAGATTTCCGAAAGGAAATAGTGTTGTGAAAGGAGTATAATTAATTACTTCTGAACTATTATATTGTAGTATAAAATATAAAGGTGGTACAAGGATCACTTCAATTCGTAAGTCTGCTATTAAGAGACATTTCATTCAACAACCATAATAATGATATCTATTTAGCTAAATATCAATATATTTTATTAACCCAGGAAAGAAGCATGTAAAATAGTTCATTAAAGGATCATTGCAGAAACCTTGAAAAATAAAAAGGAATAGAGCATGTCGTCTGTTCTTGTGAAGACATGCTGTTGTTGTTCCATACATAAAAAATTTAGTTAAATTCTCTATGAAACCCATGGAATACGTTAACTTTGTACATATTATTAAATTATATAAAGTAAAGTAAATTTATATAATTTTCGTTATAAAAAGAAGGAAAAAAGATAAAATACAATAAAATCTTTAAGCACCTATCATATTTGTTATGTTAGTGAACGACAATGTGAAAATAAATACTGTTAATTTTTTTCGATTCATGACGTGTGCTTAAGAATGAGGTGGTTTAGAAAAATGCCTTGTTCAATATGTAATAAAAAAACACAGAAACACAGTTAAGTGAAAACTGACAGCAGAAATTGTAGAGTTCAGAATTTATAAAAATAGCTTTGTGGGTTACTTTTTAAAAATTGTCAAGACAAAACACAAACAAAAGAATATTTAAAAAGTAAATATAATATTTTAAAACGAATTGGAAGAAAATATAAAGACATCTTAACCTTCAAATTTGAATTTCAAAATACAAGTACTAAATGAATTTATTTTTTAAAATATCACCGCACATAAAAAGACTTCATTCATTTTAAAACACTTCAAAACAAAAAAGGAAAAATATAAAATGACTTAATTTATTTAATTATCACATGCAAAATTTGTTTTGACATATCTAAAAATATATTGTATAACAAAAGCAGTTTATAAATATTTATAACATTTAGAGTAATATTACATAAAAAGGTAGTTAAATGTATTATAAAGATATTATGATATTAAAGACAAATACATTCGAAATGTCAATTTTGTTGAGGCACAAAAAGATTCTCCAGCCTGATAGAATCGGGATTACGTTTCGTATTAAGTCTGGACTCATGATTAAAAGATTTCGAGGATCCAAAGGATATCAGTTTTAATAGGAGTATTATTCTCTTAGAGGACAATGGTCGAAAAACAAAAATCAGCAATTCTTGCGGTGTACAGTAGAACAGTTGGAAAGTTATGGACCCCTAACAGTTTTACCGTTATTATTGACTTCATCTACAAGCCCCCCGGGGAAAGTTAATGCAAAAGTTAAATACAAAACTTTACTTTTCGACGACATTCGTTCTAGGGCTTGCGCGTTATGACTGAAACGATTTTAAAGCGATTTTCATGGCGTAGGGGGGAAATTATGTCATAGTCGGACTGAAAAAAGATTCGAGTGAAAATATCACATACATATATATGTACATCTAACGGGCATGTTATTGAGATAAAACAGAATGTCAGAAATGAGAAACGCGAGAAAGGATGCACAAATTTTCAAATAATTTAAGTCCCATACTATAAAATTGTCGATCGAAGATAAAAAACAATCAAAAATATACATTCATAAAGCCTTCTAATAAGAAGAAAAAGGTTTATCAGCTTTGTAAAATTTAACAACACACTGAGTGGTTTTTTTTTCTTTCAAATTCGGTTTATGTTTGATTTTCATAAAAACCAAATTATAATATTAATGGCTGCTGCAAGATATTGTGTTCCTCACATTCTTCAGGAAATTTATATCAATCTTTGTATGTAAATTCTAATATATCTTGGGTACTAACTACATACTAAATAATTTTTTTGAAATATAAATAAACACAGAAAAGTGAAAAAAATAGTAAAATACATGAAAGCTCAAAACATTCCATCTATTTTCAAATAACATTTAATATTTCATTATTTTACTTCCTCTTTTAAAATTACTTATACTGGCAAGCTTTATCTTGCATAGACCTATTTTCTATTTGTATATATTTTTTTCAAAATTCAAAACGTTACATGGTAAATGTAAAAAAAGGAAGAACTAACTATTACTTCTATGTTTATATTCTTCCCAATTTCAAACCATAAATTAAAAAAATATATATATGTAAAGATTTACACAAAAAAAAGTAGTAAAACAATTATTTTATTCCTTTTTGATAGTAATAAGACAACTAATAGCCGTGTATTTAACGTAACCATAAAATAAACATATTCACAATTCCCTTTTTGATATTGTTGTTGTGGAATATTTAATTATTGTGATATAACTGACGAAAAAGGTCTAATAATTAAATCACCCAAAATAAACAAATACATGGAGTGAGTGAGTGAGTGACAGAGAGAGTGAGAGAGCGAGAATGAGAGTGAGAGAGAGAGAGAAAGAGAGAGAGGGAGCGAGAGAGTGAGTGAGAGAGAGAGAAAGAGAGAGAGAGAGAGAGAGAGAGTGAGAGAGAGAGAGAGAGANAGAGAGGGAATAAGAAAATAAGCGCAGTTTAACTCCATTATCTCCCATGTCATTAATTGTTGCATATTTAATGTGTTGTATTTCAGCCTCCAACGTGACATAAAAAGTAATAGCTCAAGTGATAGAGCAGCGGCGTATTTAGCAGAAGGTCGTGTGTTCGAAACTGATTTTTTATCTCAACCGATACCTTACAAAAAGATTAATTAAATAAGAATATTTATACCAAAAAACAAATAATCACTTTTTGGCTGTACTAGCATTGGAATTTTTTTAACCGGTGTTCCAGTTAAGAATTCATATCTTCTCTGTGCTTTATTTAATCACCAAGTTATTACAGCAGTATTTAGCCGAATGTCGTGGGTTCGAATCCCGCTCCTGGCACTAACTGTTCATTGAACCAAAACCTTACATAAAAGGATTAATTAATTGAAAGAAGTAATTTGGTCAATAGACCACTAAATATAATGGATTTAATATAAAGTAATATTGAGTAAATATTGAATTAATAGTAGCCGCAATTAAAATTGGAAATATTAATGTACATCATTTATAAAAGTATTATTAACCCTATTCGTTTGTCTTGTATGATGTTAACTAAATCAGTACACATTCTAAAAAATTCAACGGTTCTGCGGAGAGAGGCTTCCATTCCTGCGATCCTCATGAGAGCCTAGGGCATTCTCCAAAATGGGAATTTAAATTAAATTTTAAAGCGAGCGGTAAAACATTGGGGTTTTGTGAATATAACGCACCTTTGACGTTAAAGAACATTAAAGGCATGTGCATATATAATAATGCGAAACCTACAAGTGATCAAGGTTGTAAATTTAACAGACAAGTCAATTTTATAGCAGCCGTTTAAATTGGTAAATAATAAATGCGAAAGATATTTCTCAATAAAAATTGGAAATTTGTAAAGAAACATTTGTTCACCTACAGTTGCAACAGTCGTCAACCCGCTTGGAGAAGTGTAGACGATCAACTAGTACACACATCAATGGTTTGTGGTACCGTCTACCAAAATTATCAAACTGCTTAACCCGTCCTGCCATTTTCGAAAGCAAGTCCTTAAAAGTCAATTGCGGCCTTTTTTCGTAAAAAAATTCCGCCCAGTCATATCGTGGTGCATTGCAAAAAGGAAATCCGGCCAGTGTTCTGGAATCGTTGAAAATTTTAAGGAAATTAATATGATTTTTTTTCTTTTTATCTCGTCCGGATGATATCTCGAAAAAATATTTCACCCTTCCATTTAAACCTTAGTCTGCGAAATTTCTCTCATTAATTGAAGCTGTGGGGAACCAGAGAGAGAATTGTCTGTTTAAATTATGTATTACCATTGATTTACTTTTTTCCCACTTTCCGTTTTTCTTTATTTATTGAACGAGAATTATCTATGACTTTGTTAAAAATTAAGATAAATGCCTTCGATAATTTAGGAATATTAAAAAAATCGTATAAAACGAATTTTCTTTATGATTAGGAACAAAAGCTTTCTAAATATTTTAAAATGTATGAACAATGATAGATGTATGTTACTAAATTAGTACTTAACTAAATTTAGTATATTATTGATAAATGCAATAAATTTCTACGTTAACTAAATGTATATTATTCCATTCTATAAACATATGTTTTTCTAACTTAATCCAACTAACCAAAAATTAGCAAACAAACGGCGTTTATTAAAAAAGAAAATTTGTAATCACAATATAAAAAAGTAATAAAAAATTGAAAATGGAAGTACTTGAAACATAAAACACATCCTCCATGCTACCAAATATATTGTTAATAACAGCTGGTCGATCACCTTTACATGATAAAACAAGCTTACCATTAAGATAGTTAAAATTTTCATTCTCCTGTTTGGTCCTCAGTTATTATAGTTCAGTGGTTTTGTTATAGTTCAGTGGTTTAGCCTCAAAGTTGACATTTCTGTAAAAAAATATAAACATTTAAAAAAATATATTTTCATCACTAAAACAACGAAGTAATTAGAGATGGAAATAGATTTCTACTTATAAATTGAAATTGGTCCATTTTTCTATCATTTTTTACAACAAACAATATTATAAAAGAAAAATAATAAATTGTTAACTAAGCATTAATAAATAATTTTCACTCTCTTTAGAGATAGATAGAGAGATGGAGATAGATATATATAAAGATAGAGATAGAGATAGATAGATAGATAGATAGATAGATAGATAGATAGAGAGAGAGAGAGAGAGAGAGAGAGAGAGAGAGAGAGAGAGAGAATGGTAAATAATTGGTTGATGGATACAGAGATAGATAAATAGAATCTATCTCTGTATCTATCAACCAATTATTTGCCATCTCTCTCTCTCTCTCTCTCTCTCTCTCTCTCTCTCCATTTTTTAAACATATCGATATTTATTCATTCATTCTCGCTCATTCTATGTCTGTATCCAACTGATAGAGGGGTCGTTCAATACGTAAATTGGAAACAATTTTAAATATGACGATATTCATTCATTCTCTCTCTCTCTCGCTCTCTCTCTTTCTCACTCTCTCACTCACTCTTTCTCTCTCTCTCTCTCACTTTTTCAAATTTACGTTCATATATCATTCGTGTTTTAGCATTTAATAGTTCAATTTTTGAAAAAAAAATCAAACGAGCAGGGCACCAAAGTTTTACTTACGTTGCTGCGGTTGATGAACATTAGTCAGCAGGTCGTTCGTCCCTGACACAAATATGACGGTTAAGACGAAATATGAACAAAGCAGTTTGAATATTTTGTTTTATAGCTATGATGATGGAACGAAGGAGTGGAAATAATTAATTAATGAAAGAGGAAAGCGGTACTAATGGAAAACCCTTTCTTGAAAATATAATATTTATTTAGGCTATAAGCTATTCTAATAATTCATTTATAAAAGATGAAAAATAGAGCAAATTAAAATGTACTAATCTTTACCAATACAATCAGCGAGTTATAGAAGACCACGATTATAAAGAAATGCTATTTAAGAGAAAATTACTTCAAAAAAGTGCACAACGTACAATTTGTGTATTGTTATTTTATTAATCGTATTGTGAACGGTTAAAATTGAAAAAATTGTGTTTATTTTATAACCAACTACATTAATATTATTCTGCAGAGAAAAATGGGTGTAATTATTTACACCTATGTGTGTAATTATTAGGATCGCGATTTTATGAAAACAAAACCTTATTTTTTCCTAATTCTGGGATTTCGTAAGATTGTAATAATCGACATGCTCGTTATTTATTCACGATCGCGTAAATACAACGTAGAGTTGCATTATTAATAAATAAAACATTAGCCGTTATTCTTTAATGAAACCCAGGGACGACTTTCCTCTGTGCTGTTACGGTCCAGGACTGGTTAACGAGTGAAAAATTGGAAATAACGAGTCGTTGGTCGTAATCTGTTTTAATGTTAATTTTAGCACCCTCCACTCCAACCTTATTACCGCTTAGATAATTCGCGCTTCGCTGAAAAAAACCTTGGGACCCTTTTGGAAAGCCGAGTGACAACGTCTCATTACTTATTTAGATCTGCGACAAGAGAGAACCACTTGCAGAACGAGCTTCTTCAGAAGAATTATGTAGTATAAACGAGACTAATTTGCGTTCATTACTTGCTTAGACAATCTTGCGTTAAATTTATATGTATATTAAATATTTTCTTGTGTACATTTGTTAATAATTCTAGATATAGTTTCCAAACAGACATAATTACTAACTAACCAAATTACTCACTCCTTTTACAAATGAAAAATGTGCTACAATAAACTACCATAATAATTTATTGGATGATTAATTGCTTATATACAATTGTTAATGATGACGTTGTTAATTAGACAAAAGGTATATGCCTCAAAAGATATATAGAAATGTAAACCACGTGTTGTCAAACTAATAAAAAATTATAATTTTTTCGAAGACACTCCTTCATTTTTAATAATTCTTAAAGTAACAACATGACTGTCCCATTGATTTTGCTTGTTCGACTGCTCAAGTATTTTCGGTTTAAGTACTACAACATTTTAGGAGACAGCTTTTTCATAGTTGTTCAATTATTTTGAAGTATTAATGAAGTATTATTTTGAAGAATCTAATTTGATTTCTCTCTCTATCTCTCTCTCTCTCTTTCTCTCTCTCTCTCTCTCTCTCTCTCTCTCTCTGTCTGTATCTATCTCTATCTCTATTTATATATCGATCTACCTATCTACCGTTTTACCTAATCAATTATACGTAACACAAATATTTATACGAAAAATTAAAATTTCCATCTGATGCACACTCTATTAATATTAGATATAAAATTCACAGCTTGCAAATTAGCCAACATAAAAATATTACTTTTTATTTTTTCTAGAGTTTATACGCTAATATTCAAAGAATAAAAAATGTTACAAAACTTAAAAATTTTAAATTAAAATTAACGAAAACTTTGATAAAAAATTACGTTTTGATGTTTAAACATAAAATTTTTATACTAAAATAAGTGATAAAAACCATTTAAATGTTTATTATATATTATTTTCTATTGTATTAATTTCATTACGTTTTCTATATATTGTATTATTATGTGTGTACGTATTATTTTGTGTAGTTTTTAGTGACCGTTAATTAACGATAATTTGGAGATCGTGAGATGCGGTCTTGTGTGATGTAGGTTAAAAAATGATATTTTCTTTATTGTGCCACTGTTTCGATCTTTATTTAGATCATCACCAGGGATCAAAGTGTGTGTTTTCTGTGTACTTGTGTCACGGTTGTGTGTCCTGTTGGAAGTGTTAGTCACACACTACACTTAGTGACTATCACTCGCAACACGACACCCAAACGTGACACATCTACACTGAAAACACACTTTGAACCATGAAAATGATCGAACGTTGGCATTCTAAACTTAGGTTCATCACACAAGACCTTGCATCTCACTATCCCAAAATAGTATTGTTTTATTTGATTATTTTTTGTTAAACTTAGGTAAAATGAATTTAAGTTATATGTTAAGAGTTTAGAATAATGTGGAAAACTATAAAGTAGATTACTTTGTTGTAAATATCTAATTCACATTAAAATGGTCCTTGAGACCAAATCTTGCGTATCAATAATTATATCGCTCAATCATTCATTTATCCCCGTCTCTCTTTCTCATTCTCTCTTTCTCCCTCTCTCTCCCACTGTCGTTTCATCTTCCGCTTTCACCATATTTTATTTATCAATTTCTCCATTTGTATTTTATTTGCATCTTTAACATACATAAAAGGAATATACGAAATATGCCAGTAGTGTAATTTTTTCAATACTCATCGTAATAATTAAAACAAAATTCAATGGATCTGTAAAATTGACCTACATTATGTTAAGAAAATTCAATTACTTTTTATGTTAACAAGTACGGATAATAAAAAGGCTAAAAAACTCTCCACTAGCCCTCTCTCCCTGTCTTTCACTTTCTATTAATTTTTATTTGTCCACCTCTGTCTCTTTACATCCTACTGTGCTAGAAGTACAACTTTATTTCTCACAATTGTATATTGGTAACAATGTCTGTGAATCTGATTGTGAAGGCATTTATTTTGGATTTATACCCCTCAATTTTTCAATATGTTTATTTCAGTTCTAGATTTAGGCTTTATGTGAAAAGAAGCGAAGGTATTCACGTAAAATCCTTGTAGAACCTCTGACCTTTTTACTTCCTAATAGCATTCCGTGGGGAATCGAGTCAGGTCATCTTATAAAACATTCTATGGAAAACTTCTTCCCTGATCTTAAATTGAGTGTAAGAAAGTTACCAGAAAACGAAAAAAAAATTCCGGTATGTATTCACCAAAAGTGTTTACATGGTAATAATTAGGATATTCCTTAGCGACTGAACAAGAAAATGATTAAATGAACCTCTCACCAAGTACTTGGTTTTGGCAGGATAATTAATTCTTTTACCCTGCATACGCTCTTTGAAAGAGGGCATTTATAAAGGAAGCACACGTTAATTTACTACCTTTTATATTTTGATAAACCTAACATATCAATTTGGTAATGAAAATGGAATATAAGGGAATATTCACTATAAACTATTCATGAACAACAGACTGAAAAACTAATCACTCCATTCACTCATTTTACCTAATACCTTTTAAGAAGCACTTGGAAATGGTTGAATTCGTTGCAAGGTTGCCCTGAGCGTTTCGGTTCACCTAAATTTTAGTTAAATTTTTACGTTAATATGCTATTTTTAGAATGTCTTTTGTTGTAATAGGCGCTCATAATTTTTTATTAGACTTTGTTGTTTAATTTTTCCATATAGTTTTGTATTTATGTTTCTTCAGATAAATGTATTATACTGTTGGATCTAAAGCATTGTTGATGCTGCGTTCTAGGAAAATCAACCTATCGAATGTGAAACAGTTTTCTTCCCAAGGAGTGTAGCAATTTTTTGAAAGCTTGTAGATTTTACGATTATTACGAGATTTTGCTGTACCCCCTCTTCCTTCTATTTCTTTCACTTATCATCATAAAAAGAGACCGGATTTTTATGCAGTAAAGATTGCCAAAATATACCATAAAATATGCAGTTGAAAGCCCGGAAATATAAAATAATATGCATTATTAATAGGTTAAATTATGCAATGATATGCAGTAAATCAAGTTTTTACTATTATAGTAACTTTAAACAGAAATGTAGATAATTAAACGAAATAGAGTTAGAAATATAATAAAAAGCCCATTTGTAGTATTTCGAGTTCGAATGCGGGGCCGCTGCATTCGAACCAAGGACCTTTACTTTACAGTGATGAGCGCCATGGCAACGCCTAAACCGTTGCGGCCACCGACGCCCCCTACAGTTTATTTACATTCAACAAAAATATTTTCTCACTTACATAATTAAATTACATATTTTATAATAATTGAGTATTGAATAATTATAAGCAACTAAAGTACTTCTCTAAACTGTCTTCGGTGAAATTGTGGCTACGGCCACTTAAAATTTGTGATTATTGAATATTGAAATAAGACCTATGAAGGGGTTTTATTTCGTTTTGTCGTTATTGCTTCTCTTCCCGTCGTTGCGGCCTGTTTCAGTTTTCATCGAATTAAACCAACTTTGCATCAGCTCGTTATTTTTTTATGCTTCCCCCGAAAACCAATATAATATTTTAGATATTTTGCGCGATAAATCCGATTTTGCGTAAAAATCCTTCAAATATGCGATATTGTTAAAACATGCACTTTATGCGATATTCATCAAATATGCAAAAATATGCTCTATAAAATTTAACCTACGGCTTCCTAGATACATGATTCGGGTAGATAATTGATTTCCCCGGACGTATGTGGTGGCAAACAAAATATACAACTGCATAAAAATCCGGTGTCCAATCATAAACAATATGGACGTGCTTACAACAAAATAAATTACAACAAATTACAAGCCATGAAAAAAACCCAGTCATCCATTTTATTTAATGTCCTAAGAAGTATTTGAAGATTTGAAAAAAAGCTTTGCTATTTTATTGACTGCCTTTTTTTCTCAAAAATGTTTAAGATCATTTTAAACGACTTATCACTACACTAAACTCAACCTTCTCCCAGATTATCAGCTCGGCTTTCGCCCTCAACATTCCAGAACTCAGCAGGAGCTTCTCGTTGTGGAACATATATCCTCATACGTTGAGCGTAAACAATACTACTTGGAAACTCATG